AAAAAAAAAGAAAATCATAAGGAAAATACATTTATAGTATGTATTTAAAAATGCGTATATGTGGATTCATGCAGTTCAAATCCATGTTGTTCAAGAGTCAAGTGTATAAGATCTTCACATGCATTAGTCCATGGAATGCTTACAAAACCCTTATGAGACACAGACATCTTCAATTTTCCAGTTGAGGAAACTGAAGCACAGAGAGGTTACTGACAACCTCTAAATGAAGGCCTTCTTGTATTTTAATAAAATGTTATTCCCTTGTAATTCCCTAATGAGTTACAGATATAAATGCGTTTTTAATGTCACCTGGACTCAGTTTCCCCTGAGCCCATGACTCAGCAATCCCTCTTGACTGCAAAGACTATTCATGAAACTCTATCATAAACACAATCCCACTCTTCCACACCCACGACATAATAGCCCTTCTCCCCCAGAGGTGTGCTCGTGGAAAGCCCTGAACGGGCAGCCCTGCTTTGCAAATGTGCACTAACAATGTGGCGATGGAATACGTGAATGCAGACATCAGCACAGTTCTAAAAATGAGACCTAATGATAGCACCTCAGAGTGGAAGAGAAAGGATCCAATTAGCCTACCCGCTTCTCACTCTTCTGCATGTAGTCCAGAATCAAGACAAAACAAAGTCTAAGGGAAAAGATGAAAAGGTGCAATAGGAACAAAACCACAGACTGCCTTAGTTATCAAAGATACGATTTCAAATTTTTTAAATAATGCATTAGGTTTTATGTGAGCCAATGATAGGGGTTCACAAGGAAAGCTGACCACTTAGAGCTAAGTTAGAAAAAATGCTTTTGTTTTTGCTACTACGTACAGTCAGGTCACAAGGGCGATAAGTGAAAACATAATACTATTGTCTGCTCTTTGTAAGCCACTTTCAAATGCTGGCATGGACAATTTAACAACAGAATCAATACCAACTGAAAATTCTGCCTTAACTGAAATAAAACATTTGATGACAAAGGTGAAGTAATACATCATAAAATACTAAAAGCAATTTCTCATTTCCCGTGAAGATAAATGGAAACCCCTAGACAGCTGAAATTTAAGTTATAACCAATTAAAGAGAAATGACTGGCTCTTCAAATTTATATTTACATATACAAACAGTATCAAAATACCATTCCTTTACGCTGTTCAAACGGCTATTTTTATATGACTTACAAAGGCTGAATGCATCCTTCACAATAATGACACGGAAATATCTCATCACAGCAGATGCAAAATCTATCATCGTGTCACCCAGGTTCATGCCATTGTTCAAACGCACCTATCATCAGACATCGATCTGCCCCGTGCAATACTAGTTTAAATTTAACTCTCTCAGGAGATGCATTACAAAACACAGGTAGACATACATCCAAATGTTTGACCTCCCTTTGTTTTTAAATAAAGTCTCCTGTATGTGCCACACATGAACTGTTCAAAAAGCAAAGTCAATACTGTACCTGGTTATTTCTTCTTTAAGCTTACATGGATCATCAGCATAGAATTTAATACCAAAATACAAAGTATATGGAGGTCCAGCTAAAATAAGAAATAGAAATTAATTAAATTTTACATTATAAATGAGTCAAAGTAATGTGTACTATTATACAACTATTAAATATTACACTCACCAAAAATATTTGCAAACCATATTCTGGATAAGGAGTTAATAGACAAATATGTGAGGAACTCATACAACTCAATAGCGATAAACAAATAACCCAATTTAAAAAAATGGGCTAAAGACCTAAATACACATTTTTCTCAAAAACAAATGGCCAACAAATACACGAAAAGTTGCCCGGCATCACTAAAATCATCAGCGAAATGCAAATCCAAACCACAATGAGGTATCACCACACACCTATAAGAATGGTTATTATCAAAAAGGCAAAAGTATCTGTGAGGATTTGGAGAAAAGGGAGCTCTTGTGCACTGCTGGTGGGATTGTAAACTGGTACAGCCACGAAGGAAAACAGTATGGAACATCCTCAGAAAATTAAAAACAGAGCTACCATATGATCTAGCAAACCCCACTTCTGGGTATATTATCTAAAGGAAATAAAATCAGGATTCTGAAGAGATATCTGCATTCCACTTCACTGCAGCGTTATTCACAATATCCAAGATATGGAAACAACCTAAGTGTCCATCAATGAAAAAGTGGATAAACGAAATGTAGGACACACACACACACACACACACAGGAATATTATTCAGCCATAATAAAGAAGGAGACCATCCCATTTAAGTCAACATGGATGAATATGAAGGACATTATGTAGGGGAAATAAGCCAGACACACACAGACACACACAAATACTGCCTGATATCACTTATATGTGGAATCTAAAATAGTCACACATATACATGCAGAGAGTAGAATGGTGGTTGCCAAGGGCAGGGGAGGGGAAAATGAGATTGCTCAAAGGGTATAAAGTTTCAGTTATGCAAGATGAATGAGTTCTGGGAATTTCATGTACCACATGGTGATGACAGTTAAGATACTGTATTGTACACTTGAAATTTGCTAAGAGGACAAATCTTAAATCTTATCACCCCCGCCACCTCCCCCCCCACACACACACATACACTGGTAACTATATAGAGGTGATAGGTAAGTTATTTAGCTTGATTGTGCTGACCATTTCACAATGTATGCATATATCAAAACGTGAAGTCGCATACCTTAAATATATACAATTTTATGTCAAAGCTATCTCAATAAAGCCGTTTAAAAATACTTACCAAGAATGTCTAAAGACACAAGAAAATATAAAATAAAAAAGAAACAGGGTCACAACTATGTAACAGTAGAGCATCAGCTATGCAGATATCTATACATACGCATGGGGTCTATGTCTGTAGAAACACAGGAAAAAAGACAGGACCAAATACACGAGAATGTTTTCAGTTCTTATCTCTGGTTAGTGAGGTTATGCATAATTTTTATTAATTTATAATTTTTCCACTTTCTACAACATATATGTATTTTTTCATAATGAAGATTATTCATAAACCAAATAAATGATTTTAAAACCATCCATCACTAAATACCAAAAAAAAAAAAAATAGTATCCGCGAAAAGCTGAAAACAACTTAAATGCTCAGCAGAGCAGGTGGACCATTTAAGTTAACCAAAGGACGGATATATATGTGTGTGTGTGTATATATATATATATATATGGTACTGTGCAACTGTTCACATGGGCAGAGTGGGGCCTCTGTATGAGGATGGAGAAAGATCAGCAATCTATATTTCCAACTGCAGAAGTACAATCCCTTTTGTGGAAAAGAAAGTTCCCTGTTAAAATATTTTTTTCCTTAGAATACATAAGAAATTACTAACAGTGGCAAACTTTGGGAAGAGGGTCAGGAAACTTTTTTTTCCAGCTTTATTGAGGTAAATTGACCAATTAAATTGTAAGACATTTCAAGTATGCAATATGATGATTTGATATATGTATACATTGTGAAAGGATTTCCCCCATCAAGTTAATTAACACGTCCGTCCCCTCACATATTTACCTTTTTTTCCCCAGTGAGAACATTTGTTCTACTCTCTCAGCAAAACTGACGTGTTAGAAATACTTTACCATGTATGTCTTGTATGTTTTAAGGAAAAACAAAATCATCAGTGACACTGTGTGGTAGGATTAGGGTCCATACACAGAGGGTGCCAAAAAAAAATGTACACACATTTTAAGAAAGGAAAAAAACTATTAAAATTGTGATACTCAAATATATACCAATAACAAAAGATGAATA